TCATAAACAGAATATTTTGCAATGATTAAAAATGAGATTATCAAAGGATGTTGATGTTGGGAAATGCTCTAGATATAACAGTAAGTAGAAAAAAGCAATATATACATTTTATGATCCCAAGATTTAAAAATATATTTTAGGAAAAACACCAGAAGGAAGCCCACCAAAGTATTAACTGAGGGTCTCTAGCAAGTGGAATCATGATGCTATTTTTTTGTTTTCTTGCACTTTTCAAAATGTCTCTAGTGAAGCTACTTGTATGATTAGGAGAAAAATAATGGTGTTATATAACCTTTGAGTTGCAAAGGTCATCAAGTGACAGCCTGTTGTCTTCCTTACTATGAAAACGAAACTGAGAAACCAGATATTTGATGAAATGAAGCCACACTCTCAATCTAGCCTTTCTCATTCTCTAGAAATTCTTGACTAAAGTAAACCTCTCAGAATATATACTAAATAGATCCTCTGGAGACCTGGCCCCAATCCTATGACAGCCTCGCTATCCATCTGGCTTTTGAAGTGGCTCATACTGAAGGTGGGGCAACTCCCCAGTCCAGAGCTGATCTGAATCAAATCAACTTTGCTTCCAGTCTCATGCTGGGTAAAGCAAATGAGATATGCAGTACCTTAGTTGTTGCCACATACACTACTCAGGGCTGGCAGAGGGAAAAAAAAATTTACATTCTTGCACGTTGCCAAATGTTTAGATGGCCCACAGGTTGTTTATCTAACAGCTTGACATTTGGCCAGACTGACTGAAGATAATGAGTTTTAGTGAGGTTGCTTCTAGACCTGGCAACTGCTCTACAAATCAAGACATAGAAGCTTGTGAAAAACTCAGTGCTTCCTAAGCAGCATCCCCTCCCAACTCTGAATGACTTTCTTTAAATATTCACCATCTGGATAAATCAAACAACTCACATTCGATCTTTCTTACTTCCCTTACGGGTTATTTTCCATCACATCGCAGAGGAATTTTGCTCAGGGTTTATAAGGTCATATGAACTGTGGCCTACCTAAGAGCCGCCCTAAAAATTGATTGTAGCCTAGAAATCGACTGCTTGTGGAGCCTTCCATTAATCCTGTTCTATTTATGTAATGTCCACATTTGTCTTTGGGTTTTCTTACGATTTTGCTCCAACTCAAAATTTCTCTGAAGATGTCGAGAATTCTAGCCTCTGCTGTGTTTGTAATCCATATGAAGAAAAGCCAAGAACAAAGGAAGTGAAACATCTGGGACACTGGAGATACTCAACTGCAGCCCAAGAGTAATTCCACAGCACTTGCATTCTGTTCAAATAGAGCCAGTTAATAAATTATGCCAGTACATGAGGCATTCAGAGTGGCACAACTGCTCAGAGTGACTGTCAACCTTTGGTGGAGTATGTTTTAATATAAAAACTTAATAGATGTAATTTAGTAGCAATTTTCTTTGGGAGTAAATTGGTCTCTTAATCATACTCTGAGAACATAGAAGAAAAATGACTAACAATTCAGCACAAAATGAAAACCTGTGGTTACCTAAGAGGTACGAATGTGCATTTAGCAGTTTCTTCTTTTTCTAGCTGAATACACAGGATGAATGGTGGCTGTGGTGATGCGTTCTCCCTGCTGCTACCTAAGATTTGCTGCCCAGAAAAAGAAATGAGTGGCACTTCACCAATATGGAAATGTTTCTAATAGAATATAAAAAGCTGTTAAGCAATTTTCCAGTACATTAGACTGAAATTGCTTAAGATGGGTATACATTTCTGTGGCAATCAAACATTACATAAATTGCAGTCTTATAATGCCCCTATGTGGAAAGTGCTAGTACAATTTGGCCTCATATTTTAGTCAGTACTTTTGTACTCACTTCCACTTGTGACCCTGTACAAAGCCACTTCGCAATTACCTGGAACGGGACTTCCTGATTTGAGGGTCACCCATGCTTTCATTAGAAGAGCCATTCTTTCTGGCAACTTGTACAGAGCTCAAAATGAAAAAGCCAACCAGCTAGTTTTTGTTAGTCAGCTTTAACAGAGCATGAGAGGTCTGAGAATCTTGGCTCTGAGTAAAAACAACAAGTCATTGTGTACAGACAAGTATCCCTAACTTCTTGCCTGCTTCTCTATTCCAACTTTTTATTGGTTTACAAAGATCACTGGTTCACAAAGAAGACCATGACATCTACTGAGCACAAAAAAAAAAAAAAAAAGAAATGCTCATATTGAGAAGCTACTTTAAGTTACAGAGTATTAATCAGCTATCCACCAGATCTGACATCCATCCCTCCCCACCATACTTGACTTGCACATGATGTTTCATTTTTAGAATAACTCTTTCAGTAATTCTGCTCTGAAGACAAATAATCACTGAATGTCAGCTTAGAAAAAGTGTAGGCAATAGGTATGGGTAGAAGCCATCAAGTAACAGCAAAGGGGAAAACACTACAACTGCAGCAAGGGAATAAGATCTAGAACATTCTGAATATAAACAGAATTATATAGAATAGTGGTTCCAAACACTTTACTGCCACATAACAAGATATCATTATAGAAACTGAAAGTGTTCCAGTATGGGAACATTTTAAGACCCACAGGGTGATGGAAAAAATGCCCTGGAGCCAGGCAGGGCTATTTGAATCCCAGCTCTACTGCATATTACCTGTACAACCTTGGGCAAGTCACACCACATCAGTCTGTTTCCTTGCCTATAAAATGGAACATTAACTTCATAAAACTGTTTAAAGGATTAGAATTAATGTAGAAAATTGGCTTATCATTGAAAGAATGGCAGCTTATAGTATTAATGATTACATCACACTCTACTTATGAACCCATGCTTCAGGACTGCTGCTAAGTCCCAGAGAATGAGTTCTGCAGGAGTATACAGTCTTAGCTTCAAGTCTCTATTTTGTGACTTAAGTTTCCCATTTTGTTTTTCAATGTCATATCAAATTTTAGGCATGTATAGTATTTCACCTATAAATACACCTTCTTCAGGTGGATCTAAATCTACACATGCTGCCCATTTTGAAACTCATGATAATGGCATCCTTGCTTCTCACTCTGATTTTGGTATTTTCATCTCACCAACAAACTAGAGTATGGTACAGTATTAAAGTTTAAAATACTCACTTTATTTATACACATCACTGCCCTCTAGTGACTAGAATAATTCCTTCTAGTAGTCTGACCCCCTTGATGTAAAAAATAAATTAAAAATCTAGTTACTCATCCACCAGCAGGAAGAAAAAATCTTTTTCCAGGAAATGTTGGTTGATGCAACCAATTAAACCTGATCTTACCTTCCTCATCAAAGCTTCTAGCTGTGGTCTGAGCCACCACCTAAAGCTACAGAGCACAGGTGGACCACCTGTATGTTCTACTATAGATTCTTGTCTTAATAGTGTTGGCTATGTTGGGCATGACCAGTTAGTAATAACACATTAGGCACATTTCCTCTCTAATACCCCTCAGCTCTTAAGAACGTGGCCTCCACAGTGTTCCTTAAATTTTTTACCTTATAATTTTTTAAATAAAAGCATATATTATTTATATAAGGGGGGACCCCACAGTATTTTCAAGGGAGAGATAAACAAATCTGGATTACTAAAATAGGAGCTTTGCATTCAAGATCTAGTCCAAGTTTAGAATACCAACAGAGATTGGCTGACATCCTGAAAGACTGGTCTGTTCTCTAACTTTTGGCCAGTTAGCACCAAACTCAGGAAAACCTCTAACCTTATTCACAGAAGAGAATGGGCAATAGTAGTAGCTACTGTTTATAAGCTAGACCTTGTGCTTAACTATTTGTATCTGTCACCTCCAACAATCCTGTGTGGCAGGTGTTTTTATCCTGTTTTATACATGAGACCAAGAGAACTTACATAGCTGAGTCCAAATCTGCACATAAGCCCTCCTCTGATAACAGGAAAACCATCTGAAGGGCAAGTGACACTGAACATTGAACAAATTACCATCTTGGTGTAAACAGTAACAACTTACAATAAACTCTGACCCAGAAACTGCTGAAGAACAGAATCTAAGAATATTTACTAGTAAAAGATAGGTGTTCAAAGATGACCTATCTTCTTCAATAATTAAATGCTAGCTAGTTATAAATTCAGTGAGAAACTTATTCTACACAGATATAGGTAGGTTTCTCTTATCCAAATGCAAATCTAATCAGGTCTGAAATCCTAAAAGTAGAACATTAAGCTAAATGATAACTCTCCCAATATTTTTTCAGTTTTTGTTTTTTTTTTAATGGCACCTCATGGGAGCCTGGACACAATGTCCAACCTTAGAATCACCTATGATTTTCTTTTTTTTTAATTAATTAATTAATTTAGTTAGTTATGGCTACGTTGGGTCTTCGTTGCTGCGCGCGGGCTTTCTCTAGTTGCAGAGAGCAGGGGCTACTCTTCGTTGTGGTGCTCGGGCTTCTCACTGTGGTGCCTTCTCTTGTTGCAGAGCACGGGCTCTAGGTGTGGGCTTCAGTAGTTGTGGCACACGGGCTCAGCAGTTGTGGCTCACAGGCTCTACAGCGCAGGCTCAGTTGTGGTGCACAGACTTACTTGCTCCACGGCATGTGGGATCTTCCTGAACCAGGGCTCAAACCCGTGAACCATGCACTGGCAGGCGGATTCTTAACCACTGTGCCACCAAGGAAGCCCCACCTCTGATTTCGTCTAGTCACTTTTTCTTTGCTTTTTTTTTTGGCTGTGTCACACAGCTTGCGGGACCTTAGTTCCCCAACCAGGGACTGAACTCACACCCACGGCAGTGAAAGCCCAGAGTCCTAACCACTGGACCATCAGGGAATTCCCTATAGACAGATGATAAACATACTTAAGCCTGTGTGATGCATAAGGCCAAAGCATAAGTGGACAATGGAACACCCCTCTATCAGCTCCCCTCCACCAATGTGGGTTTATGGGTCCATCAGCCCCTCCTTGGTGAAGAACAGCAATCCCTGTTTTCCTCAGAGGCTGTTCAATAACAGTAACACTGATGTCTGAACTTGCATCTTTAAAGACATATTTCAGGATGTGGGAGCTTCTGGGACCATAACTTTAACCCAGCCTTCCATAACAGTCTTTTTACTTTCTAGTACAAAACATGACACTGCAATAATAGCAAGGAACCGCTTCAGCTTTTTCACTTCTGCAGAAGCTAAAACAACTTCCCCAACATATAAAGGCGCTGGAAAGTTAATTTCCTGGGAAAGAAATACACAGCCTGGCCCTGGCATTTTAGTACCTAGGAGAGCTGAAATAAGTCCATTGATCAAAACTCCATGTACAATCGTCTTTCCAAATCTGGTGTGTTTTGCAAAATCTTCATCCAAATGTAAAGGATTGACATCCCCTGTTAATTCTGAGAAGATAGCCACATCCCTCTGTGTGAAGGCCCTACTGAGTTCAGCCCGGTCTCCAACTCTGATGTGCACACGCTGTAAGTGCTGCCTGTTTAGCACTGCTTGGTTCAGGCAGATACTCCTCTGAAGCCTACCCCACCCAAGGCAATGGCTAGAAATTACTGGGAGCATCTTCAGAGGTCTCAAATTCCATCAACAGGAGCTTTTAGGCTGTTTCAGTCTTCACACATTATGCTGGCACCAAAATGTACTTTTGAGAGCGAGGAATACTTCTGAAATTGAAGACTACTCAATTCAATACTAGTTCTCTACTGTTACCAGATAATGCAAGGAGAAATGGAGAAACCTATAAGAGAAAGAAAAAGTTTAAGGCAGTATCAGGAGAAAACTGCACCACAACACAGTACAATGTAGAAACATGCCCTATTCTATAGGTTAAGCCAAAGTGAGGTAGTAGCATTTTAAAGAGCATCCTGAGAGCTAGCCTTAGATAAATAAGTGGTCATGATAAACTCAGAAAGAGCATTCCAATACATTAGGCGCTAGGCATTAAGCAACAAAAGTTAAGACTTTTCCACAGGTGTTCCAAGTTTTATTCCCAAACCTCCCCCATAAAATTTAAAACCTAAGTGCTTTGTCTCACATTTTTGTAATTAATGAAGCCCTGAATTTTCCCCTCCCAGCTGGATGATGTTAACAACACTAGATTTATGCAAGCGCAAAAATGAGACACATATTAATAAGTAGTTTGGTCTACTACTCAGCTCATTTGGAATATGTGAAGGAATGGTCTTTACCTGAATCACTCTGAAAGCGCATTTCTTGCCTTTATAGGATCCTAACAGGGTCAAAGAGCTCCACAATTTGACAAGACCACTACGGAAAGATCGAGAAAGCGTAAGTAAAGATTTGTCCCTGCAACATCTCCCTAGTACTTTTGTTTATGATGGTCCAGAAAGTAGTTTCTACCAGAAAACCTATTTAAAATAAGAAAACTTTAAAAATAAAAGCACAGGGCTTCCCTGGTGGCGCAGTGGTTGAGAGTCCACCTGCCGATGCAGGGGACACGGGTTCATGCCCCGGTCCGGGAAGATCCCACATGCTGCGGAGCGGCTGGGCCCGTGAGCCATGGCCACTGAGCCTGCGCGTCCGGAGCCTGTGCTCCGTAACGGGAGAGGCCACAACAGTGAGAGGTCCGCATACCGCAAAAATAAATAAATAAATAAATATAAAATAAAAAATAAAAGCACAGTATGTCAAAGGCAAAGAAAAACATGAACCTCAATCAGGAATGTTTCTAAAATATACACTTCTGAGTTTGCAACCCTGACTATCAATTGGGAAACATTATAGTTGTAAGCAAATCACAAGTTTGGCTCTCTAGGGTGTAAGTTCCTGGTGGATGAATGTTCATATTCTCCCCAATTTAAACTTCCAAAAGCTGGCTGGAGTTCACAATGACAAAATTCTTCTCATTCTCAGAGGAGAGCACCTTTGCTCTTTTTTTGCCATCCGTCTCTCTGCTCTGTTAAACTAGAAGTGTTCCACTGTCTGTCGTACCTGCTGCATATTCTCAAGATGGCTGACAAGGTCTTCTCTTCGTAGGTTAGAATGTCCAAGGGTAAAGCAGCATCAACCTAAGTATGGAATAATGCTGTCAGCAGACTATTATCATCATTACTCTTGAACTCTAATAACTAATTCTGTCAACTGCTTTTCTTCTCCAAAAAATCAGTATTTTATTTAATGGATTGGAGTACTGGGCCTGCTTTTTTATAACTTCCCCCTGCCTGGAACATTCTTCCTGTACCTCTTCATATTGCTAAGGCCTCTTTACCTTTCGCAAGTCTTCGTTTAAATTGCTCCTTCCTTGATTCCCAACTGCTTGCTACGCTCTTTCACATACAGGACCCACATACTTCCTATTTCAAGATACTCATCGTTCTTGCCATTAATTGTTCAAGATGGTTTCCTATTAAAATAACCAAGACCATGAGGCAGAAGCCATGTCTGTTTGTTTACAACTACATCCCCAGGAACCAGGTTTTATACTTGACATATAGAGGGTGCATGGATTTTTTTTCTCATACTTTTTATTTTGAAAAATTAGTCACATGAGATTGCAAAAAAAATGTGCAGGAAGATTCCATGCACCCTTCACTCAGCCTCCCCCAGTGTCAACATCTTGCATAACTACAGTACAATATCAAAACCAGAAAACCGAAAATAATAAATCAGAGCTTATCCCAATTTTGCCAATTATACATGTACTCATATTTGTTTACATGTATATGTGTGTAGTTCTATGCAATATTACCATACAGGTAATTTAAGTATTACCATTATCACGATAAAGAGCTATAGCATCACAAGGCTCTCTCCTTCGACCCCCTTTACAGCCATACCCGCCACTCCTCCTCATCCCTAAACCCAGGCAAACACTTATCTTTCTCTAGATTATATAATTATGATAATTATGTTATTTCAAGAGCATTATATACATGGAATCACCCAGTATATTACTTTTTGGGATTGGCTTTTTCACTCAGCGTAATTCTCTAGAGATTCCGTCAATTTGTCAGGTGTATCTATGGCTTATTCCTTTTCATTACTGAGTATATTCCACGGTATGAATGTACCATAGTTTGTTTAACTATTCACCCACTGAAGGGCATGTGGCTTATTTCTATTTTGGGGCTCTTACTAATAAAGGTGCTATGAACACTTGTGTACACGTTTTTGTGTGGACATAAGTTTTCATTTCCCTGGGATACACAGCCAGGTATGCAATTGCTGGGTTGTAGGGTAGTTTAAAAACAACTACCATAGTTTTTTAAAGGAAACTGCCCAACTGTTCCAAAGTGGCTGCACCATTTTACATGCCCACCAGCAACGTATGAGTGATTTAGTTTCTCTGCATCCTCACCAGCATTTAGTGTTATCACTATTTTTCATTTCAGTCATTCTGCCAAGTGTATAGTAATGTGTCATTGTGGTTTTAATGTGCATTTCCCTAATGGCTAATGATGCTGAACATCTTTCCATACCTGTGCTTCTTTGCCAACTGTACACCCTTTTTAGTGAAATGTCTGTTCATATCTTTTGCCCATTTTTAAGAATATTTTTTTGGATTTTGGCTGCACCGCGCCATGCCATGTGGCACGCGGGATGGTTCCCCAACCAGGGATAAGACCCGAGCCTCTGCGGTGAAAGCGCCGAATCCTAACCACTAGACCACCAAGGAACTCCCACTTTTGCCCATTTTCTAATTGGAGTGTTTGAGTATTTTTCTTTACTACTGAGTTTTAAGAGATCTTTATATATTCTAGATATTAGTCCTTTGTCAGACATGTGGTTTACAAATATCTTCCCCCCAGTCTGTAGTCTGTTTTTCAGCCTCTGAACCAAATCTTTTGCAGAGTAAACGTTTTTATTTTGATGAGTGCTTGATAGATTTTAATTTGATAGAATATGTATCAGGAAATAATTTCCTGAGAATCATCTGTCTTTGTTCTCTCTTCAAAACTCTACTTGTTTTCAATTGAATGCGAAAACAGACTACTCAAAGTGCTGGTCTGTGATAAGGAGCTGCGCCAGAGTGGAAATCAACAATATCAGTGAGCACACTGTTTATTTCAGCTCAGTTTTTTTTCATTGGAGACTGTCTCAGTAAAGGAAACGGTGTGCTCATTTACATTCTGGTACAAGCCACAACAGGCAAAAAAACCCCCAAAAACCCCAGCAGTTTGCAGGTTGCCAGTCTACACCATACTTTGAGTTGCACTACACTAAACATTTGTCTAACAACTTCTTGTCAACTAGAAGGCATATGAGAACAAACCTACACAAAACTCATCACTTCTGAAAGTCTGCTTCTGCAATTTCAAATGTGGTTTTAAAGTTTTAAAATAATGTTGGGAAAAGTGTCCTTTCACTATGTCTTACAAAGACCTTAGGAGTGCTCAAACTACCAAGTGATTCCATACCTCTCCAAACAGGTCTTTCAGGGCTGAAATAAGCAGCTGTTTGAACTGTGCAGCATTCAGTCCAATGCCATGATCTTGAAATTCTCTGTAAAAAATATTTTTTAAAAAATGCATTGCATTAAATTTCATGCCATTCACATTCATAAAAGAGTAGTCGAAAATAAAACTCAGGAGACTGAACTTACAGGTGGACTTTCATGTAGTGGTGCTCAGAGGGATTTCTGTAAACTATTCTTTCATATGCGGCAGCTGGGGCTGGCATCTTTTCCAGTGCTGATCACACCTACATGAAGGGTCAAGGGGGCTAGAAATTACCAAGACACAAGCTATTTTTCACTTTTTTAATGAGAATTTGACCTATATGATTTTTTAAAAGAACTCTTAGTACAATAACTTATCTAATTCTGGTCAAACTGATGTTACCCATACAGACACAATGGAAGTTTCTATATTTTATATATGCCAAACCACTGTACTCTTATTTAATCCCAGCAAACATTTTCCCTTACTGAGTACCCAGCTCTGTGCTAAACACTTTACATGACTTAGGTCATGTCTTCAAAATGATCCCATGAGCTAAAAGCTATCAGTATTCCCATTTTTGAGAAGTGAACGCTGAGGCTCAGCAAAGATAGCTAACACCTGCCCAGAGGCACACAGAGATTCCAACCACTCCTGAGCTGCCTCAAGACCACTCTGGCATGATGCCTATTCATACCAAAAAAAAAAAAAAGTAAAAAGCGTAAAGGAGTAAAATCTGGGACCGAAGACCCTCTTCTTATTTACTCTGTCAACGTAGAACACTAACAGAAGAATGAGGGGTGGTAGTTCTCCTGGCCTCCCGCACGTTGGATTTGCCTGTTCTCTGTCTAGAAGCCAGGCCTGTACAGGGCTATTTGGCAGCCCTGCAAAAGACTGAGCTTAAACAGCAAAGGTCTTAAGAAGAATTCTGGAACGGACACTCAAGCCATTTCTAACAGATCTGGAACTTTCAAGAACTCAGAACATGCTAGTCCCCCTGGAAAGAATCCCTGTCCTTTGGCTCCACCCCTACCTCACTCTCACTCTGGATAGCTCCTACTCATCTTTCAAATTTTAACTTAAAGTTCACCTCTTCCAGGAATACTGCCTCTTCAGGGAGGTCTTCTGTGACACCCTAAGTTAGGTACTCTTGTTACACAATCTCTTAACATTGTCTATTTGTTTAACATCTGGTTCTCCCACTAAAGGGACCAGGAAACTGAGGCCGAACCAAGGAAACGGACTTTTCCAAGGTCACATAGCTATAGACCAGCATTTACAAAAACCTCTCTGGGCCCACTTCCAACTACCCCCAAATGATGACCTCAAGAGAAAATGAGAAGTCAGGGTCAAGCAGGTACATCCAACCATCCATTCAACAAACACAAATATTTACTGAGTTTGGCACAGAGTATTCATCACTTTCTGAATACAGGACTGATCAAATGGTGGTAGTGTGAGGCCTGTATGTTCAAGAGTTATCTTTGGTTTCAGGACTGCAGCAATAGTTACCTGGTGCTTCTCTCCCCATCACCAGAGTCTCCCCGACTAAAGGGGCAAGGAGAACAGGACCCTCAGTCATTCCATTCATTATCCGGCACACGATAGGTGTTTTTTAAGTGTTACGGACTACCCTAGAGGAGTTGGCTGCTTGAGGTAGGGGAGTGAGACTGGACTGGGGCTTAGGATGCCAATAACAGCAAAGATTTCAGGACTACTCTGGAAATGGATAACGGTGATAGTTGTACAACAACGTGAATGTACTTAATGCCAATGAACTGTACAGTTAAAAATGGTAAACTGTAGGTTATGTTTATTTTACAAAAAAAAAAAAGACTGAAGGAGCAAGTGTTTATTGAGCAGTCACCTCTGACAGGGCTAAGCCTCAGGGTGAGTGATAGCTCTGCCCTCTTCAGGTTGTCCTGAGATTAAAGGAGATGGTGCTTGTGAAACCCTCCCTACAGCCCGGCATATTCACCAGGCTCACCAGGAAAATGTGAGCACTTCCATGGTGGCTGTCATCATCATCTTTGAAGTCAGCCTTTTTGGTGGCTGTAGGGATGCTCATTACCTGATCTACTAGTAATAGGTGTCCCTGCTTCCCTCCCCAATCTAGTCTCTACAGCAGCCTGAGTGACCCTACTAAAAACCATCCAAGCCACATCATTCCTCTGCTCAAAACCTTGCAAAGATTCCCGTTTCAGAGTAAAGCCAAAGCGTTTACAGCCGTGATCTGGACCACTGGTTCCTCCCACCACCTTGACCCCACGTCCTACCGCTCTCCCCTGCTCAGTCCCACCACACAGGCCTCCTAGCTTTTTCCCTCCCGCCTCTGGACCTCCCTCCTACTTTTCCACATGCTGTAAATACTCTTCCTCCAGATAGCCACACGGCTCATTCCCTTGCCTCCTTCATGGCTTTGCTTAATTTCATTCCTCCATTTATTCCAGTAGCATTTAGATCTAATGTCATCCCCCCATGCCACTGCTCTACTTCTTCCTCATAGCATTCACCACCCTCTAACATAACTGTGAAATTCATTTATTCTTTATTCGTACTTCCCTCCCCCGCCCTATTAGAATATACATTCCAAAAGAAACAGGCATCTTTCTGTCTTGTTCTCTGATGTTTCCCGAAAACCTAAAACAATACATCGCATACAGCAAGCATTCAACATATAACTTTGGGACGAAGTCAACGATTTACAAAAATACCCAGAATCCTCGATCCCGTACTGTTGGGCACTTAAGTCGTTTTCAACTTTCTTAGACTAACGTCCGCCATTGATTTAGCGCCCACCTGGAGGCCGGGCACTTGCGCTCTGCACACGTGACCCGTTCGGTCCTCTCAGCCGCCCTCCGCGACTAAGACCGCGTTGTAGAGAAGCCCGCGGAGGTTGGCGGCCCAGCCTCGCCTTCAGCCCTTGTCGTCCGCGGCCGGAGCGGTAGGTACCGCTAATCGCTCCTCGCTGCCCGCCGTCCTTCCGCCTTGCGCATGCGCCCCAGGCGCGCGCGTCCATACGTCACCAGTGCGGCCAACTGAGCCCACTCCCGGAAAACAGCCGCCCTGCTATCCGCCTACCCGCTCTCCGTCGGACTGGTCTGACGCCTCCCGGACTCCTTTTCCCTGCAAGAATCCACCAAGACTTGGAGCTCCCCCGAAGCCTACGGCCCGAACTCCGGGGTGTTTACGTTTGGCTCCTCTCTGTCCCGCCCCCGGATGTGTGACGTCTAGAGAGGATATGATGTCACCGCGCGAAGTTCTCCTAAGGACCCAGGCGTGACTCTGAATCTGAGACTCTCCATGCTTAGTGCCCTCTAGTGCCCACGCTGCAGAAAGCCGTGTGCGCAAATGTTTGCATAGGGTAAGGGACTCAGGGCATGTTTATTGTGCCCGAGAGCGTGCTTCGTAATCATTCATTTATCTATGCCTTCATTCGTTCAAAAAATTTATATCTAGCGTCTCTTCTGCTGAGCATCTCCTAAATAAAGCAATCCCCAAGGACAGAACCGGTTCTCAGTGTCTCTTGTGACTCCCAGCGCATAGTAGGTGTTCTGTCTGGGTTGACATAAAAAAACCCAGATGGTCCTATTTCCGAATGTAAGCCAAGTTTCATCTATTCGTTTATTGAGTAAGTACTTGCTGAGCCCCTATTATGTACTAGGCACAGGCAACAAGACGATATGGCCCCTGCACTCGTGAAACATATCGTGTGTATTCAATAATCAAGTGCTTACTTTGTGCCAGGTACTATGCAAAAAACTTTATATATGTTATCTCATGGAACTCTCACACAGTCGTAAAGTAACTATTATTACGATCATCCCCATTTTACAAAGGTGGAAACTGAGGTACAAGAGGCTAAGTTACTTGCCCAAGATCACAGTTATAAGTGGTGGATTGGGCCATCTGACTTCAGATGGTTTTCTCCACACGGCACCGTATTACCACCAATTGTGTGATATGAGTCAGGGGTATACATGGGAGAGGGCCTCGGGGCTGCCAAAACTTGAGTGTAAAGCCCATGAGGTTGGGGCCTTGTCTTTGTTGGCTCACCACTGCTATCCTGTGTCTGGCACTCAACTCCTACCGCGTTCTCTGAAAACTGAGTTCCCTTGACAAGTTTATGATTAATCTCCCTATCCAAAACGTTATTCCCTTTCTTGTCCCACCGCTGTTCCCCTCAGGATTGAGGGGTAGCAAAGAAAAGGGGGGACTGAAACCAAGCACGACCCTGTGGAGCCTTCCCGGCTACAAAATTCCTTCCATGTCTAACTACGAGAGAATTAATCTTGCTTGTTTGAGAATTCCAGGGGCTGAACTTAAGGAGGTGGAAGCAGACCAACCCTGGAATAAATTACTAATTGAGTACACATTAAAAACACCAAGATGACACTGACCAGACCACTGCACGACCCATCTCAAGATGATTATTGGAGCTGACCGTGCTGTTCTGCACATAGCCCCCTGCTTGTGCACTCCTGAAACTCCCTTTTAAAACCTTTGTCCTCGAACCCACAACTAGGAGATGGTCTCAGACATTAGTCCACCATTTTCGCAGGTTGCTGGCCTCCTGAACAAAACAACTTTTTTCACCAACACTTGTCTCTCGAGTACTGACCTTTCGAGCGGCAAGCAGTCGAACTTGGGCTCAGTACCTGCCTCATCCAGTTACACATATGTCTGTGTCTATGTGTGCACACACATACATATATACATAAGTATAATGTCTAGAAGGGTTCCAAGTGGACTGATGGAAGACAGGTGGGGCTGTGTGGAGGGTATAGGAGATGCTCACAATGTTTTAGCATTCATTTTGTTTGATTTATTTTAAAGTGACAGGGCATCACTTTTATAATACTGATAATTGTTAAATAAAATTCAGGACTTGCCCCTAATGGTCACCAGGTGGAGCCGTGGACCACACCCATCTGGATGTCTCTCTTTCCACCTTGGAAGAACAGACTCTTCCTCAAGATGTCAGCTCCAACCCCCACCCACCAAGGTAAGAGAGAGGGGACAGGGAGTGCAGGTTCACTGTCCCTTATCTGCAATCCTGAAATCCAAGAAAAATCCAGAAACCAAATCTTTCTTCATCTGGCATAATGCTTAATCCTACCTGAGGTGAAGCTCTTTATAGCTTTTGTCCCATTTGCTGTGGATATGCATAGAGCATACAGCAGAAATACGAATGCATTTGATCATGTAAAGCTGCCCCAGATCCCACTGGGGGTGTTGCACAACGTATGGTATACACAAAATACCACCTCTGTAAAGTCTGAAATTTCTGAATTCGGTATCACATCTGGCTCTGTGAGATGTGGTAAGGGACTGCAGACCTACACTCACACTAATAGTTGCCCTTCAGCAACAGTTACCCAATCCCAGCCAGCTTTCACCTTGGGTCACTGGGATTGTCACCATGGTGCCACTTCCTGCCCCTAAGAATCCCTTCTTCTCCTCTCATCCCTTGCTGGAGCTTGGCAGCCTTCTACATGTGCCCTGAGGTTCCTAGTCATTGTCCTGAGGGTTTAGAGACCAAAGATCCAGAAACCATGGAAAGAAAGTTTCCTCCAGGAGCCAAGAGAGAGGGGCTGTCCTGTTGCTCAGAGGACATCCTCTCCCTCACCCTGACTAGACTTATGGTCCCACAAGACCCTCGTCCCATCACAGGCACTGGCAACCCCAGGCCCACATCCTGGTGATCTCCAGCCCAGAGAGCAACACTGGGCCCCAAGGGTAGCTGGAGATACCAGGACGGCAGCCCCAGCACCGCTGCCCTCTGGCCCTGACCGCGGCAGGTAACTTGAGGACATTTCCACTGCGCCATCTGTGACCACTCGCACTGCTTTTTTGCCTCCTTTCGAGGAATGGAAGGGTTGTATGAACGTCATCCAGTGTGGGAGGGATGAAAGGGGGAGGGAGAAGCGGCTGATGGGAAAGCCCAGTCTGTATGGTTAAAGGAGTGACGCTGGAAGATTTGAAAGATTGACGGATCAGAAGAATCAGGTTTCCAACTGTTAAGAGTGTCTGTGTGGGTGATGGAGACAGACGGGTATGAGACAAAATGATGAAACAGAGATGGGGCAAGGGGTGGGGGAGGAGAGACAGAGACAGAAAGACTTGGAAAGAGACAGAGAGAGACTATGAGAGTTTTTTAAAAAAATGCTCTCGAACCCGGCCTAAGAGTATATCACCAAACATTTCTGAAATAGACCCAATATATTGCTACTTTTTGAAAATAAATTAATTAATTAATTTATTTTGGCTGTGTTGGGTCTTCATTGCTGCGCACAGGCTTTGTCTAGTTGCAGTGAGCAGGGGCTACTCTTCCTTGCGGTGCACAGGCTTCTCATTGTGGTGGCTTCTCTTGTTGCGGAGCACAGGTTCTAGGCACACGGGCTTCAGTAGTTGTGGCACGTGGGCTCAGTAGTTGTGGCTCGTGGGCTCTAGAGCACAGGTTCAGTAGTTGTGGCGCAAAGGCTTAGCTGCTCCGCGGCTAGTGGGATCTTCTCGGACCAGAGCTGGAACCCATGTCGCCTGCATTGGCAGGGGGATTCTGAACCACTGCGCCCCCAGGGAAGTCCTAAATTGCTACTTTCAATAAAAGACTTGGTCAACCCAAGTTCACGTGCCTGAGGCACAGTGAGGCCAAACAAACTGAAAGATCGGAGTTTGGAGCAGAGAAAGGTGTATGGCAAGGCCAAGCAAGGAGCAGGGGCAGCTCATGCTCAAAAGACCCAAACTCTCCAATGGCTTTGAGGGAAGAGCTTTTAAAGGCAACGTTTGGGGCGAGGGCTGCAGGGTGGACGACTTTCTTCCAATTGTTTGGTGGTGAGGTAACAGGTGATGCTTCAGGAATCCTATTCATCAACCTTCTGGTTCCAACCTGTCTGGGGTCTAGTGCTTGTGCTCAGCATGTAGTCACCATCCTCCACCTGCAGGGGGTGTAGGGTGGGTCCTTAGTTCCAGCCGAGCAACTCAAAGATACGTGTTGGATTGTTATATATATCCCTCCAGGAGGAACTAGGACTGTGTTTTATTACTGAACTATTGTTTCTTAACTGCTTTTACTTTGTTTCTGCATTCCCTCACTTTCCTAATTAGTAACTTCTTGAATCTGCTCTTCAGGAACTCAGGGAAGGCCTAGGAGACTAAAGCCTTTTTCTACAAACAGGAAACAGGGAACACAGAGAGGCTTTTGTACCCCAAGGACTTCCATGGTGGTCCAGTGGTAAAGAATCCATCCTGCAATGCAAGGGGCCCGGGTTCGATCCCTGGTCAGGGAACTAGATCCCACATGCAGGGGCCCAAGGTGTGACCTCAGTGATCTGTGGTTGAAGCTGCCACACACTGGCCTGGTCTAGGCGAGCCAACAGGGCCCCAGGCTCTGCTGGAAATTGAGCAAGACAGCTCCTGCCTGAACCGGTGAAAGCACGGTTTTTGCAAGACACCTTCAATCATAAACCAAGAGGCTTCTCTCTCTTTGTTATCTGTGTGAGCTTGGGCAAGACACTTTACCTCTCCATGCCTTGGTCTCCTTGGCTGTAAAATGGGCACAGTGTCCTATGTCCCTTTTAGGGCTGTGTGAGAGCTTGATAAGTTGATGCATGGAAAACACTTAGAATAGCACCTGGCACATTTATATGATTCAGTCATGTAATTTACATGATTCAGCCTGGCCTGACATACATTACAATTTCCCAGTACTTTCTGGGGACCTCCTTTGGACAAAGCAACAACTAAGTTTCCCTGGGATGGGGAACTAGAAGATAGACTT